TGGCACTTGCTCTGGAGACCAAGCTGGCCTCGAACTCACAGAGATCCGTTTGCCTCTGCCTCCCGAGTACCGAGATTAGAGGCGTGTGCCCACCATCTGTTCTTGCAGTCATAAATATTCTAAGTTCATTGGGCAGGGCCTGGCTGGTTAGTTGGTGCAGGGAGCCCTGGAGGAGGACACCTACAGCAATCCCCAGGGCAGCAACAGAACCACTCTGGACTCCTTCCATTCTGGAGAGGTAGCTTTGGGAGTGAGCCTTGCTTCTCCCCACTGTTCCACACACTGCCATGGGGGATAGGTAGATGAGGGTCCCAGCTTCCATTGCACAAGACCCTGACTGTCTGTCCCCTTCTCTTTCTTTCAGAAATGCCTCTACCACTGCTGCCAATGGACTTGAAAGGAGAGCCAGGTCCCCCTGGGAAGCCGGGACCTCGGGGTCCCCCTGGGCCTCCTGGCTTCCCGGGAAAGCCAGGCACTGGAAAACCTGGGCTTCATGGGCAGCCAGGCCCTGCTGGCCCCCCTGGCTTCTCCCGGATGGGCAAGGCTGGTCCCCCAGGGCTCCCAGGCAAGGTTGGACCACCAGGACAGCCAGGGCTGAGGGGAGAGCCAGGGATACGAGGGGATCAGGGCCTCCGGGGGCCCCCAGGGCCCCCTGGCCTTCCTGGTCCTTCAGGCATTACTGTCCCTGGAAAACCAGGTGCCCAGGGGGTGCCGGGGCCTCCAGGATTTAGGGGGGAGCCAGGACCCCAGGGAGAGCCTGGACCTCGAGGAGATAGGGGCCTCAAGGGGGATAATGGAGTGGGCCAGCCAGGGCTTCCTGGGGCCCCCGGGCAGGCAGGTGCCCCTGGACCCCCTGGGTTGCCTGGTCCTGCTGGTTTGGGTAAACCAGGTTTGGATGGGTTACCAGGAGCCCCAGGAGACAAAGGTGATTCTGGGCCCCCTGGGGTTCCAGGCTCTAGGGGAGAGCCAGGAGTTGTAGGTCCAAAAGGCCCTCCTGGGGTAGATGGTGTGGGGATACCAGGGGCAGCAGGGGTACCGGGGCCACAGGGCCCAGCAGGGGCTAAAGGGGAGCCAGGGCTCCGAGGCCCCCCTGGCCTGATAGGTCCTATTGGCTATGGGATGCCAGGAAAACCAGGACCTAAGGGAGATAGGGGCCCAGCTGGGGCTCCAGGGCTCTTGGGAGACAGAGGCGAGCCAGGAGAGGATGGGGAGCCAGGGGAGCAGGGTCCACAGGGACTTGGGGGTCCACCTGGCCTTCCTGGGTCTGCAGGGCTTCCTGGTAGGCGTGGGCCTCCTGGGCCCAAGGGAGAGGTAGGACCTGGGGGTCCTCCAGGAGTGCCTGGCATTCGGGGTGACCAAGGGCCTAATGGTTTGGCAGGGAAGCCTGGGCTCCCTGGTGAGAGAGGACTTCCTGGGGCCCACGGGCCCCCTGGACCAACGGGGCCCAAGGGTGAGCCAGGTTTTACAGGTCGCCCCGGAGGACCAGGGGTGGCAGGAGCCCTAGGACAGAAAGGTGACTTGGGGCTTCCTGGACAGCCTGGCTTGAGGGGCCCATCTGGAATTCCAGGACTCCAGGGCCCAGCTGGCCCTATTGGGCCCCAGGGTCTGCCAGGCCTGAAAGGTGAACCGGGCCTTCCAGGGCCTCCTGGAGAGGGAAAAGTGGGGGAACCTGGCTCTGCTGGGCCCACAGGACCTCCTGGAGTCCCTGGTTCCCCAGGACTCACAGGTCCTCCTGGGCCCCCTGGGCCTCCTGGACCTCCTGGTGCCCCAGGGGCCTTTGATGAAACTGGTATTGCAGGCTTGCATCTGCCCAATGGTGGAGTGGAGGGGGCTGTGTTGGGCAAGGGAGGGAAACCACAGTCTGGGCTGGGGGAGCTGTCAGCACCCACCACGCCAGCCTTCACCGCTGTGCTCACCTCCCCCTTCCCTGCCTCAGGCATGCCAGTTAGGTTTGACAGGACTCTCTACAATGGTCACAGCGGCTACAACCCAGCTACTGGCATCTTCACCTGCCCCGTGGGAGGCGTCTACTACTTTGCTTATCATGTACATGTCAAGGGCACCAATGTGTGGGTGGCCTTGTACAAGAACAACGTGCCTGCCACCTACACCTACGATGAGTACAAGAAGGGCTATTTGGACCAGGCGTCTGGAGGGGCCGTGCTCCAGCTGCAGCCCAATGACCAGGTGTGGGTGCAGATGCCTTCAGATCAGGCCAACGGCCTCTATTCCACCGAGTACATCCACTCCTCCTTCTCAGGATTCTTGCTCTGTCCCACATAACCCGTGGGGGGCCCTGCTGCCCTGGCCTCCTCCTCTTTAGTGATAGAGAGACCTTTCCGGTTACAGAGATCTCCATTTGAAGGAAAAAAGCAGAACAGAGGCGGCAGTGGCCTTGGCTGAGGAGACTGACCTATTTCTCCGTGCGTAGGCTGAAGTCGTTTCTGGAAGAGGTTGGCCTAATTTCCTTTCCCTCGGTGCACTGTGGGGGTTGTACCCTCTTCTGGACCTGCCTGTTATGCAGACAGCAACCCAGAGCACTCAGCCCAGCCTCCTCGTGAGTCCTGGAAGCTGCTGGGAGAGATGGTTTTGCTGTTGGTCTTAGATGGCATGGAAGGGGCCAGGGGTGCTTCCTGTGTTCGCGGGGCCTCTTCCAGCTCCCCAGGGGCCTCCAGCATATGACATGAAGTTCCTTGAGGCTTTTGTTTCCTTTTGGGGGAACAGAAGAAGGGAATAGGGACCATGGAGGTAGTCAGTGTGGCTAGACCCCCAGAATAATGCTGTGGACTCAGGCCAGTCCTGGTGGGGACAGTTGTGTGCCCCTTGCTACTGGCCCCTCAAAGACTCCAGAAGCAGCTGTCTGTGGGGATCTGGGAGGGGTCAGAGGTGTGGATTATGAGGCAGGCTGGTAGCTCTTCTGTTTCCCTGGCTCTCCCCATTGGCTCTGGCTCTTCAGCATGAGGGTGGACAGCCCCGGGCTGAGGTGTGGAACTCTGTGTAGTCTCTACAGATTGCAGAGCCAACCAGGACCGATGATCGGCAAACACGAGTACTCCTCCCTCTTTCCTCTCACCTGCTGGGGGTGGGCTCATTTTCTCACTATCAGACTGTTAGGGGACCCTTGCCAACTTCAAACTAAGTGTCTTCAAACAGAGCACTTCTGTCTGGGCCCTCTGCACAGAGACACACAGGGTTGTGGGTGCAGACTTCTGTTTCTCTTTAGTAAGAACCACGCTGTGGATATTTAGTGTCTACTGGAGGGGCTTGTCTGTGGGTACTTCCTCTCTCTCAGCCCTCTGCTTCCAATTTCCTGTTCTAAGCAGGGTAGGGCCCAGGAGGCTGAGGCTCTGAAGAAAAGGATGCCAGCAGGCCCCACTGGAATGAGCTGGCTCTGGAGGCTTCCAGAACCCTCCCTAATCAGAATTCTCCTGCAAGGAAACAGGCAGGCTTGCCTCCCAGCCCCTTGGCCCCCAGTTCAGGCTGGGATCAGTGCTGGGGGCAGGGATGGTAGATACTCTTGCCTGTGTAAGGATGGCTGCTTTCTCTGTGGTCCATGACCTTCCTCAGTCCTCACCTAGTCAGCCCACGTAACTGTGCCAACTGTGAAACCGGGACATTGAATAGGCAACCCATCTTGTACTCCAGTATGGGCCCATTCAACTGCCTAGGCTGATGGGCTGAAGATGAGGGCCCAGCCTCCTCCCCTGCATAGCAGCCCAGCTAAGGATACTTCCTTCAGCTCCCAAGGGGTAGCCTGCCTGTAGCAGCAAGAGAAAGTTCAGCCGGGGCTCTGCTACACCCAAGAGAACCAACTAGAGTCCCAGAGCATCCTGATGGGCCTTTAGTTCAGCCTCCTCCTTTCCTGGGTTGAAGCCACTAATCTGATGTGTTAGAGATGGGTTCTAATCAGCTCTCAGAGGAAGCCCTGGGGGTTGAATAAAGTACCAGGGAGCCCAAAAAATCATTATCAGAGCAGAGCTGCCAGACTCCACCCTGAAGCCTTTAGGAAAGGATTGATTTTGAAATGTACATGAATTAGAGCTGTAGGTGTCACTGAGCAATTTTGACAAACATCAGGTTTTAGCTATGACAACTACACTTACCTTGTGCATTTTTGTATTCTGGCTTTAAAAAAAATTTTTTTTTAAGATTAAGGTTTTTCTACTTGTGATTTGATTTCTAATCTGGTGTAGGAAAATGCCCTAGGGAATCAGGAAAATGGGATTTCTTTTTGAAAAGAAAACTATAGTATTGACTGTGTTGACTGTCCCCAATAAAACCTGTTGTGGAAACACTGCTGTGATGCTGGCCTCAATACAGAGATGTTTCCTGGGCGTCCAGGAGCTTCTCTGACCTCTTGAGGAGTGCAGCTTCCCATTCAGGCCTGTTAGAGCCACTCCCTCTGCCCTGCTGCCTCAGCACCACCAGGCAAACTTGGAGCCATTCTGTGAAACCAAAGCAGGGCAGTGAGTGGAGCCGGATTGAACTTCGACGGAACATTCCTACAAGCTCTCAGGAGCAGTGGAGCATGACAATTGGCTCAGGGCTCAGGATCCCGAGGGCCAAGTTAACATCTGATACAAATTATGAATGAAGGTTCGAATCTATGGTCCCGAGGATGGGGCCCAGTGCTGAGGACAGGGTAGGGGGAAGCTGTCCTGCCCGGAAAGCACCTGTTCATAGCTTCCCACGCCCAGGAGCAGCATGGGGATCTGGGACAGCAGGCATGATAAAAGCCATGTCCTGTCATCTGCCTACCCTGATAGAACCTCATCTTGGCTTGAGGCCAGCTGCCTGATGTTCCTGAAGCCTCAGGCCAACCACTGAGCTAGCTGTGCATGCTTGTCCCCTCACTGAACTTGGAAGGATGCTCAGAGGTCATATTCATGGTTTGTGGGAAGGTGTCTTTTCAACTGTCTCTTTTTTTTTTTTTTTTTTTGAGACAGGGTCTTACTATATAGCCGGCTGTCCTAGAACTCACTACATAGACCAGAGCTGACCTTGAACTCACAGAGATCCACCTGCCTCTGCCTCCCAAGTGCTGGGATTAAAGACAAGCACCATCACTCCCATCTGCACAAAACTTCATTGCAAGCCAAGACCTTCACCCTGTGCCCCAAGATACAGGGGGCATACAACACAGTGCACTTCCATACCTGGGGTGACACCCCACTCCCATCAAAGGTGGGCGCTCTGCACCATTCTACAGGGACCTGGCTTGGCTTGTTTCTACCCAATCTCAAGCAAAGCATTTGTCCAGATGCCTTGACAGCACTGTGTGACCTCTAGTAAGAAAAGTCACTGATCCTGCCTACTCTGCCCCTCCTGGTTGGAGGTAGAAGACTGCCCCACAACACAGAAGCTACTGCCTTGGGGTCCCAGGGCTAGAAAAGTACAGTTCAGGCAGGAAGTTTCTACTTAAGACAATTCACCAGTGGAAACAAACGGGATATGCTGGGGTTTATAAAAAAAAAATTATTGCTGTGACTTCCACTAGAAGCCGTCAAAGAGCCCCATTTCAGAGAGGGGCCAGGCCAGTTGGCAATGGATGGGCTAGATGTAGATGCCAGTCTCAAGAGTCACACGTGTTGGCTCTGCCCAGCCCGACAAGAGGCTTCCAGTCACATTGGTTAAAACCCAACAGGAACCATAGGTCATTTCCACCTTCAGAAGTCCCATGTCCTATATGGAAAGAATGCCACAATACCCCTCCAAAATCAAACTGCCCTGACCCCTCATATTTCTGAGGACCCCGGGGTGTCACACAGCCCTGCAGCAAGCCAGAGCTGCAGCTCCAAGAAGGCACCAGTTCCTCACTGTTCCACAGACCGGCCTAAGACTCCAGCCCCAAGGGAGCCCTTGGCCTGCCCTTAGGAATGCTGGGGCAGGAGAACCAGCTTCAGGTGACTCTGGATGCAGTCTGGGTTGTCCTTGGTTCTGATGGGCCTGACAGGGCCGCTGAGGCTGTGACCCTCACACACTCTTTTGGAAGACTCGATGCAGGCTCTGGGCCAGGACGTCTGTCTCCTCATAGCCCTCACAGCTTTGCTGCCAGCTCTCTGGCACCTGCTCCATCCCATAGTAAGCTCCAGCAATGGCCCCAGCCATGGTAGCTATGGTGTCTGTGTCTCCACCAAGTGAGATGGAGTAGATGAGGGTCCTCTGGAGGCTGTTGAAGGTGGAGGGGATCTCGGGGTCAGGCTCCATGCAGCGCAGGAAGCAGTAGATGGCAGTGGGCACAGACTCGAAGGCAGCAATGCCATTCCCTGTGGGAAAGCGGGAGCTTAGGAACATGACCTCCCTTCCTGCAGCAGGCTTCCTGCCATATGCCAAGAGCCAGCACCTCCTGCTTTGTGCAGGGCCATGCCTGAGATCTCAGGCTCTCAGGCTCTATACCAAGCCTGCTGGCGGCCAGGCTTAGCCTTGTTCTTGGCTTTGATTCCTGCTCCCTCCCAGGGATGTTGAGAGGTGGGTCACTGTGAAGCACTCCACAAGTGCCCAGGGCACAGGCACCAGGTAAACCAACATCCATAATCACACTGGCCCTTTCTTCGGACTTGACCTCTAAAACTACAGGCACAATGTTCACAGCCCTGCCAGGGCCCTACAAAAGAGGAACTCTAGCTGTCCTGCAGCAGCTGGGGTACACATTAGCCAGGGTCCACCCACCTAGCTCAGACACCACTTCCTCTCGGCTCACCACCTCCTGGTCCAGCAGCTCTGCAACCTTCTTCAGCCTGCTGGAGTATGGACGCTCCTCCATACCCAACCTGGGGTTTGAGAAGCGATTTCAGAGGTCAGAGTGAGCATACAGAAACACAGGGGAAGGGACTCAGAAGAGGGATTGGGGACATCAGGTCCCACCCAGGTGCATATGCCTTAACAGTATTGAGAGAGGGCCAGAGACGTTTTGTTCTCTGGGACATCGAGGGCCATAAATGCGTTAAGGCAAAGGGGACTCTTTCTACCACTCCATACAGTTCCCAGTGAAGACAGGAAGATTTGGCTATGCAGCAATTCCAGACACCCCACCCCTGCCTGTAACACACTTGCCTCAGTCCTGGCTCCAGCTCATACTCACTCTTTGGCATCCAGGATCGACTGGGCATCACCTTCCAGCTCTTCCATGTGGCCCACAAGCTGCTTGAGGAAGTGCTCACTGGATGACACACCCTGCAGAGCTAGGTGCACAGCCAGTGCCTGCAGGATGGCACCGTTGTAACCCAAGGAGGAGGCATGGGTCAGCTGGGCTGAGAGTCGGGCAAACTATGGAGAAGAGGAGCCACTGTCACAGGTCTCTACAGATCAGTTGGGAAAGGGGTATCTGTGACCAGCCTGCCCAGTACCTTCTGTACATCTTTGACACTGCTATAGGCCAGTGGGATGCCTGCCACCCGCATGGCACCCCCATTGCCATAGGAGCCCTTTCCATTGAATTGGGCCCGGGCAGGCTCATAGACATCACGGCACTTGGGGCTCAGGAGCTTCTTGAAGACAGTGATGACTCCAGCCCCATACCCTCTGTCAGGGTCCTTCTTGTATTCTTGGGCAAACCTAGTGAAGAGAAAGAAGGCAGATGAGAGTCCCAAAGATGTCTCTCACAGCTAGAAGAAAAGTCTGGGCTGGGTTGAAAGGAGAGGCTAGGTGCCTGGGGTGCCTGTATCAACAGTGTTGTCATTTTCAGCTGGGGAGCTGGTGTCAGCCTTAAGAAAGGGTCCTGATGAGAGAGGGGGTATTGAGTATGCACAGGTATTGTTTCTCTCTTGAGGGTTCAGCATCACTGCCTGCCTGGTCTCGTGCCAGGGTTACATCCCTTACCTGTGAGCCATGTCCACCTCGTCGAAGGCCTCTTTGGCGAGCAGGGACTGCACCAGGGCCCTGGCCATGGCGGTGTCATCTGTGTAGTACAATGTTTCTGCAGGAAAGAGGGTGGCAGGGTGAGAGCAACCCACAGGGCTTGGGTAGAATGCCCACTTACTCCTTTTGTGGCCCAACAGCTGACCTCCACCATGACCCTGCTGTGACCTCTTACCCCTTCCTCCTGCAAGCTAGGAATTATTCAGATTTCAGCCTTGGGATCTTCAGCAACCGTCTAGTACACAACGGTCAAGGCACCCTGCTGGTTTCTGAAGGGAAACCTTCCGCTACCTTCTTCCTTCACTACTAATTATCTCTGTGTGGCCTGCTTGGGCTGCACTGGTTCCCACCTCTAGCGATGTCACAAATTCTTCAGTAAGATGCTGCCCTCTTCCTTTCATTCTCCCGATTGAAACAGCTGTCTGTTGCCTTCAGGAAGAGGTCTCAACTCATGGGCTCGGCATCCAAATCCTTCCCAGCTGGGCCCCATCTTTCCTCGACATCTTTTGTCTCACAGATGCCCTTTGCACAGCTTGGGACCAATCCTTGCACTTGGGTCAAGTCCTTCCAGCTAGGGCTGCTCCCCCCCAATCTCCTTAACTGCAGGTATTCCCCCCTCCTTTAAAACCTTTTTATTTGTATATCTATTTTTGCCTTCACGTATATCTGTGCACCACATGTATGCCTGGTGCCCAGGGAAACGAGAAAAGGGTGTCAGATCCCTTGAGCCTGGAGTTACAGATGGTTTGTAGGCTGCCATGTGGGTGCTGGGAATTGAACCTGGGTCCTTTGGAAGAGCAGTCAGTGCTTTTAATTGCTGAGCCATCTCTGCAGCCCCTTTTGTTTGGTCTTTGAGACAGGGTGTCACTGTGTAGTTCTGTTTGGCTGGCCTCAAACCTGCTGTAAATACTGGGATTAGAGGTGTGTGACGCCCTACACGGGTGTGTTCTGATCTTTCTAACATGCCTTATTCAAAAGGCTACTAACCTGCTGGGGACAGTGACTTGGCCTCACTTGAGAAAAGACATTTACAGAGAATGGCCTCTCCTGATGAGTGCCTCCCTGATCCCTCCCTCAAATAGCCAGTCCACTCCTTCCATGGAGCCCAAACTCCATTTTCCCTCTTCTCTGGTGGCCTCTATATCCTAGCTTCACAGAAGTAACCACGTTCCCAGTCCCCCCCAGCCTGGTTGAAGGAGGTCAAGGCCATCCCAGTCCACTGGGATAAGAGGTTGCTCTTTGTCCTAGTCTGCTATCCTCAATCACGTCCCTGTGGGTGAGGGGAGCAATACTCTCCCTCCATTTGCTCACTGTGCCCTGATCTTGCTGAGGGAGCCAGCCTGCTTCAGTCCCAGCCCAGGTGACTGACGGTAACTGTCAGCCATCCATCTCTTACTGCCACTCCCTTATTTTTAGGGCCAGTACCCAGACTCAAGTTGCAA